TGCCGTCGTCGTCGTGGATTGCTTAAGTTCCCTATTAAGCAATAGAGGACTTTTTCCGTGTTTACATAGCTAGCCTCATTTAAACACGAGGAGGGTTGGGGGAATTCGAGACAGTTATGCAAACCCGACACGTAGTCGAGGGTTTTCATAACTTTAGAGAATTCTCCCAGCCCCCCAAGTGTTTTTATTAGGCTATGTAAACCAGGAAAAAGTACTCTATCAAACGTCAAAACCGTGTTTGCACACTCTCATCCAAACACACCTAACGACCAATAAGAGCGCGCGTAGGAGCTCAATTATTTTATAAAATGGTATATTATGTACATATCTAAAATAGTACGTTTTTAAATTATGGCAACAAATATCTAGCTTGAGGCACTTTGAGAAATGTAGAGTATTAGTTATTGTTCATGAAAGTTAATAAGGGTTTTAATGAACACAGTAACACCTAATACCATTACGATAACCCCGAAAATTACTACAAAAATATCAAAACAGACCTGATGTATCTTAAGGCGCTCATACTTGAGCTTAAAACGCAAGGCAATTGCGAAAATGCAGCATACGGGAGAATCTAATACGCTTCCGATAAATGAAACGATTACCAAGAAACTTGGCACTAAAATGGCCACAACGACTGACAGAACAACTACTGTGACTCGAATCACTGCGTTTGTCACAAAGTCAGGTATTTGATCATTTTGAATGCGTGTGGTAACTGATTTGTGAACAGACTCAATCACTGGATAAATAGCGAGACCGTAGGACAGTATGCAATTCAAAGCGAAGAAAGAACCAACAGCTCTGTGAACGGGTCCTGAGGGAATACTATTTAATATAAATTCATTTGTGTTGGCGCCGAAGGAAAGGAAAGCAAAAACAGCGAAGGATAATTTCATCGATGCGCTTACGACATAAGCGAAAGTTAAAGCTTTTCCGAACTTTGTTCTGTCGGCCATACTTCCCTCTACAGATGGAATTATTTGGTGAGAAGAGTAACTGCACAGCAAAATTGATAAAGATGTAAACACACCTTCGGTGTCCCAAAACAGGATGGTGCTCAGGTCCCACTCGTCCGTGTTCTCTGCTCCGTACCATAAAATATACACTACAACTGCAATTAAAGCAACCACGCTGGTAGCACTTAACCATGCAATCTGCGAGAGTGACTTCAGGAAAACTGTCGGCAACACCAAGCATCCAGAGATTCCTACCCACATGCGCTCTGTGATGGGTACAGACGGGTAGTCATGGCGCATGACAGATCCGAAAAGGACAAGATAAGAAACAGCCGCCAAAAAGACGACCAGCTGAATAATACCAGACACTATATAACCACCATATTTGGGTAAAAGCACGTCGCCTAGATCTTTATATCCTGACCTCACGCGATGTCTGTTTCCTTGCTCATCCTCGTCATAGAGGCACTCAGTTAGAATTGTTCCTAAATATCGCATGATAATTGGGGTTATTATAAACATTACCATGGCGGCTATTCCTCCCTCTTTGAGCGCATAGGGCACAGCAAGAAAGCCAATGCCTTCCATAAAGTTAAAAAGATTTGCTGCAGCTTTCCACACTGACGAATCACCCAAAGATGGGTCAGGCGAGACTTTTTGGTTTGATGGAAGAACAAGATCATCGTCAGACGAACTCTCTCCGTCTGAAGACTGTAGCAGCGTCAAAATTTCGGCGTCTTCAAGCTCAGCAAATTGTTCACTTTCTGAGGAAAGATAGGCCGCGCCCTTCTCTAAATAGCTTGATTTCGACGAGGCCATAACGCATTTCTACACAGGCGAATTTTTAAGTACCGTCAGAAACCTATAGTTTTCAAAAATTCCCGTTGAGCTTTCATGGCGTCAAAAAGCAATCCTACAGAAACGAATCAAAATTAGCAGCTAAGCTCTGAATACTGAAACCAATACCATTAAATAATTAGTTTACAAGTGCTTACGAAGAAGGTCGGCATTGCCGGAGTAGCTGATCCATACAATTAACAGTCGATAAGTTGTTGCCATCGCAACTGCATTTACATGCCGGTTATCCAAATTTCTGACTTTTTTGAGAAAATTCTTTCGGTTTTTGTTTTTTCAGCTTTCCTGAGCAGCATTGCAGATTTAGTAACTAGTCACTTTTTAGGAGCATTTTTCTGTTCATTGCCCATGAAATCACATTATTTTGCTCTGGAAAAATAGTGAAGTCCATGCAAAATGGAGGATCCAAGATGGCGGCGTTAGCAACGTCATGTGAGGTCAGACGATTTTCATTTCAACTCGCGTAGGGCATGCCGAGGGATATTTATTTAACACTAAACCTTTTATGCATGTCTTATAACAACGAAAACCCAAGGGAAGTCTTCTTCAAACCACCACCCCTCCCCACTCCCTCCCCGCCGTTGCCAAGGTGTGTTATGTGATACGTAAGTGTCCGACAGATCCTTATCTGCAACGATCTATGTCAGAGTAGCATTTGAGGACCTTTTTCTCGATTCTGCGCCCTTGGGAATTTAGCGTTACGTTCGCTGACATCTCGTAGATCTTCATAGCCATGGAATCTAGACTTGTCAGCAGTTTTGGGCGCTAGCGACCGCTATACTAGCAAAGGGAACACTTATCTCGTTGACTCTTAATGACCATGCTTTTGTTGTCAGATTGTATTTATGAATAGTTTTTATAACTATTTTAGAGCTAGGATAGAACATCCGTGCAAAGGGTCTGTGATCCCCTAAATAGACCAATTTCGATATATTTAAATTCAGCCTGAAACAATAGATCTCAGTACAAGGCTCTGGGGAATCACTCCAGAGTTTGTGAGGTTTATTCCCTTGAGCCTCGTGCTGAGGTCTGTTGTGTTAGGCTGAATTTTAATATATCGAAATTGGTCTATATCTCGAGTGAATTAAAAACCTCGATATGAAAAACATATGATGTCTGTTGTGAAATATGAAAACGTTCAATATCACTAGGCTGAGGTAACGAGAAAGACCACGCCGGCTCTCCCCGGCGGGATTAGTGCGGAAAGGAAAGCCAACAATAATTTTCCCGAAAGAAATAGCTACTTGCAAATTCCGTGGTGCAAATTCGTCCAAACAATTTCGGTCAAATGATGTGCATCACAGTGGAAGATGAAGTGAAACGACTGGTATTCTAAGGAAATTTAGGGAGAGGAATCGTACTGTCGGAATTTATGAGCTGAACTTTTAACGTATCATAAACAACGTTTCACTCAAGATCACTCCAAAAATTGATCATAACATTTTCCGTATCACAAGAGCCAGAGCTGGCTTTTCACTCAACAAAACGTCCAGAGTCTTTTGAAAGTCTTCCGAACTGAAAATCTATGGAACCCATCGATAGGGATAACCGTGGAAAAGAGGCATTACGATTTACCAGCCATTGGCCAGCAAGTGTGAGAATATCAATTCCCAGAGAAACTTCCCTTGGATTAGGCTATGCCCTCACCCTGAAACACAAGTGTTGGGATTTTCCCAAATTTCTAAACTTCGATTGTAAAACTCCACCCAGGTAAAATCAGCAGTAATATTCTTATACTTCGCTTTACCTACCTCCTGCTTGGCGAAGTCTTCATTTCGTGACGATACTCTTTCGTGCAGAAAGTGACAATGAACTGATTGCAAATGTGCCAAACAAAGCAAAGAAAAATCCCCGAATCAAACGAGTTACCAGATCATAAAGTTTCGCGCGTCAACGAGAGCAAATTGCATTGCATCTTTAGTGATGGTTGTTTTTAAAACTGGAGACGCATGCCCTTGCTATACTACATGAGCAAATTTAACCTGCTGCATCTAGGCCCAAGGCAAATTATTCGTAAGAGTAACCTGGTTGCTTTATTGTGCCTGAAATGACATTAAAAGAACCTTTGTTGAGATGTGATCCTCAAGGGTGTTAAGTTCTCTTTATAATTATAAGCATAATTAATAAGCTTGCATAAGTATGCGAGACGCTGGATTGTGCTGTTTTGGGTTAAAATATGGTATAGATTTTGATCATTTTGGTTTCTGATAAAGTATATGGCTTGTGCACTTTGTTCCTCAGAAATGTATAATTTTTAAATAAAGAAATTATTTTCATCATTGTTATCATTAGTTCATAGCCAGCTGTTTCATAATCAACTTATGTAATTCTATTCATTCTGTCACCTTTCAGGCATAGTCGTAATGCAGTGTTTGATAATTAGTATGCATTGTCCCGCAAGTTCAAATATATGCAGAGACGCTTCTGGAACTTTCTAAGATTTACATAAACATAAAAACTTGTGAGTTTAGCTCGACATTTATTCATTATTAGTGTGAGTGTTCAATAAAACTTTTGCCAACCGAAGTAGTTAACACCAGCGAAGGGCGATTTAATTATCATCAGGAATTTAAAGCCCTTCTCAAGCCAAGCAAGTCCAATGTTCACCGTTTGTTCAAGTCATGAAGGCTAAGATTCAATTGGTTCAAGAGGTACGACTTTTGAAATTAAGTTCAATTTTTGGGTAAAGTCAGGAGGTCAAATAAAAAATCCCAAATTGTTGTTAGAAATAGGACTAGCGTTTCAAGAAGACCGCCGCATGGAATCCCCGCATAAAGAAAATTTTCCTATCTTGGAAGTTCGAAGTGACATCGGAGGCCCGGGGGGGGGGGGTGTTACTTTGGGAATTTCTGGGTGGCGATGAGCCGCTGGGACCCTGGAACCCTTAACCTATACCAGAGTTAGTTCAGCTGAATTTTGCTACCCTTTACTAGAGTAAACTCCCCAAATCCCCCCCATCTATCGACACTATTGAGGCTGATTTGCGTAAATTTAAATTTGCCGATTTGAATTTTTTAATATTTTTGAGCGGCAAGTCCTGGTTTCCTTAGTCTAGATAAAATCTTCAACCAATTAGTCAGGTTTGTGAAAAATGATACCCTATTCTAGACCCAAACGCTCTGATTTATATACCCTACACTAGAGTAAACTGCTTGAAAATCATACCCTTCACAGCGGCACATACCTATGTAGCCCATATATGGCAGTACCCCCCGGGATCTGAGAGGGGATTAACTGGGATTATAGGCTCTACGAACAGATAATCTACCGAAACGTTATGTTGCGTGCCTCTGATAATTAGCCTCCAAGTCAAAGTTTTTTTCATAGTGTGCTTTTGTTCCTATTGAACGACGAACTAAAGAGTTTGCATTAAGCACGACGAATCAAGGCTATTAGTATCATCCAACTAGTGGACTAATGCAAATCCTGCATTTTAATTGGCTACGCTGCTAGAGGATTATTAGTAATAGTCCTCAAGTAGCGAAATTTGCGCAGTCGAGCGGGACGCTTTCTTTCGTTTTATTCCCAAATAAATATTTCTTCAACTTGCATTTGCTAACTTTATTATTGCCTTTTCCGTCCGACTAGTTGGGTTATACTAAAACAACTAGACCCTTCGCCATCAAGGGCCACGGGGTAATAGCCCATTCGGGCTACGGGTCTAATTGTTAAATAGAGGGGAATGGCATTGAAGCTCGGCGGACATCCGAGGAGCAAACAAAGATTTGTGCTGGAAGGTGACCGTGCACCATCTTGTGTTTTTCGCTCATACATTCACCGAAATGTTTTTATTGGTTAGTTCCTCAAACAGAAGTGAACATCTATTGTAACTTGAGCACGATCAAAGCCAAAAAGCAAAACATTAACATACGATAACTGATTTACCATAACTGTCAAAGAACATTTTCATGCTTCATAAATATTCCCGTCTGGAAACCTACGAACTGGCTCAGTGTTTAGCAGAAGAAAAGTTTGTTTCTGTATGGGAACAACCCTGCTCTGCCTCGACACTCCTTACATCCTCCTTTCCTTCGGCGGCATTTTGTACCTTTTAGGTAAACTAGTATTAAGTGAATGGGGCGGTACGCCATGATTCAATTTTCTTTGAACAGTTCGTCCTTGCTAATTGTGTCCGAGCATTGGTGCCTGTATGGACCAGTGAAAAAATAGTGTTGCGTCCAGACATTGGGTACTCAAAGTACCATTTCTTGCCCGGGTCCGATGTCGAGACCTTGTACCCGGACACGGGCGCTGTACATGTGCCCGAATTCTGCTGGTGTGAGTACTTGGAAAAAGGGCGTGTTCACATTATTGCCCAGCGAGAATCGAGGTCGGGTACCGTGCTTGGACACTTTGCGTGCACATAGAAATTAATGAGCTCTCAAAACATTAGTCTCGAATATTCGACTGATAACTAAGATTCCAGCTGGTCGATAGAGACCCCCATGAAGCAGTAACGAAAATTTTACGCGTTAGGAAAAGTTTAACTAAGGTAGAAAGCACTCGCTCGATTTTTCAA